TGTGAAAGCTCAGATTTCAATTTATCCCTCAATTTAAAAAAAGGATTATGTAACTTTCTCAAACAACAGTTTGAAAAAATATATATTGACATGCAAATAAATCGCTTCAAAAAATGGCCCCAGTGTGTAAAGGCTCAAACTCTCAAAGTGAAAGGCTGAGCTGTGATATATTCATTAACCTTATAACAGCGAAACATGAGTATTTATAATACATTATGAATTTGCAGTGTTTGAAAACACTCAACTCAAAGCAGGCCAGCTTGTGTGAAGAGATAAAGCTTGTCCTTTAATTAATCCGCATTTCCCAATAACTGACACACGAAAGTCAGATCTCAAGTTTTTTATCAATGACACCCTCAATGAAAATCACTGACCCTCCATAATTATTAGGTAATTAGATTTTGAGAAATGATTTCAAATATGACATATGTTGTAGAAATGTTTTTGCTTGCTATAATCCAAACCTATTGTTCAGAATGTAATGAGGCAGAACTGCAGGTAACACAAACACACAAACATGCAGCAGATAAAAGAAGAAACACACCGATGAGGATCCTGTGTGTCGAGCCTGCCAAGTGCTCACCCGTAATTAGGTGGTGATGTAGTGGCTTTTGTTCTCTCTGATTAATTATCAGCAGCTTTCAAAGTGTATAGAAACAGCCAATTAACTTTATCCAGGTTCTCATTCAATTACTCAGATGCTACATGCGAAAGGTCAGCATAGGTTGGGCCTGGTTTGGTAGGAGTCAGAAAGAAAGAACAAGAAAGGCACTTTCCAGGCCTGTGAAAGGGCACCAGGCAATTTGTTAATCCACTTATCATCACGCCGTGCCGTTTTTCCCATTTTCCACTCAATCTGGCTGTTACATCAATAATGGAGCGCTTGGGAAAAAAAGCAAAGGCGGCGCGGTGTTATATGCACAGTACAGGAATACATCCAGTTAAGTGACACGCTGTCAGGCCTTGTTTTTTTTTTTTTTTGAAGTGAACTTAAAAGCCATTTTGTCCGCCTTGAACTAAATTGTTTTTCTGTGGCCATCAATTCTACACGTCCCACACTTTTGAAAACAACAATTAATACTGTAGAGAAAAGCAAGAACACCAAGTAAAGGGACTTTTAATTGTATTCAGTTAATTTTGTGTCCTGTCAGAAACCATTAGGCTGCAGAGACCTCTGATTGACTGGAGGAGAGAGTCTTCGGTTTCAGCTGCAGAGTTAATTAGATAGATTTAGTGGAGGAAGGTGATTGTGGCAGACCAAGATGATCAGACCGCTGTCAGGGTCAGTGGTGGTGTTATTTACGGAGAAATGTGCATGCGTTGGGATGTCTGCGAGTGTGTGTGTGGCCGCACAGTGCACCGGGCCCCTCATTACCTCCTCTCTCCAATCACAGGGTGGATTTATGGCCGCCACAGGGAGGCTGTGAAAGCACCATAGTGAGGTAGTTAGGTGCTCCAACACATCCACAGCCGTACACATCACCTTTATGGTCACTCCTGTCCTATTCTTACATCAGAGCCAGCCTTACTGGGACTCAAAATGCTTGAGAGCAAACATCAAACGGCTTTAATTAAAGTATCCCAGCCGGAGTCGAAGCTGGAATAATTTGAGGACTATTTTTATTTCTGTTACATTTTCTGCAGTGGAAGCATGACAAGAGGTTGAGTTGAGAGAGAGAGCTGGTATTTCAGGGATTATACACGGCAGCAGAGCTGAATGTGCTGCATTGTAAATAGAAAAGGAATAGACACGGTGGAATCTCCCTTGATAGTCAAGGACTTTAGAGCACTTTGCCGCTGTGTGTTACTTATAGAGGGTCTAAAAATAAAGATACAGACGTTGTCCAATACCAGCGGCGAGGTACCTTGCAGGTAAATAAAAGCACTTTGAGTAAATAGACCTTATTGAACCGGTTCGATTAGGCTGAAATTGGCTTATAAGGTTTAGTCGAGAGGAAGTCCTCCTAAGCCACGTGGTCATCAATTACAGTGTGTGCACAATAATTGTGCCATATTGATCTCTTTGCCTCATCTACTCTGCTATCGTCCCTAAGTCTTTTCTGATGCAACACTGCCCCCACCCCCCACTCTCTGGCATCAGACTGGTTGAATTACTCAGCCCACGCTGTGACATTGCTGTGCCATTTCACACAATAATTTGTCTCCGCTGATGAGCCATCCAGCAACCACGCTCTGCACAAAGACTGGGATGCAGAGGAGGATGGATGCAGGTAGGAATCTGGGTCCCCCAAAGAATATTACTTGGGGTCTGTATTGGGAATGATTCCAATGAGTTTGATGCAATCAGGTATAAAGATTTAGGAAAAAGAGAGCACTGGTATTGCATCAGTACTTGGTATCCGTAGACACCCTCAACCCTGAGTCGAGATATTGGAATTTGTATTGGAAAGGAAAAATGCTCAGTACAATCTAAGTGTGTATACCTGCTTTGGGTCGCTAGATTAAATTATTTAATCAGTTTCAGCAGGACAGCTCTGCACAAAATACATTTACAATTTAAAATACAGTGGTGGAAAAAGTATTCAGATTCTTTACTTAAGTATAAGTGACAATACCACACTGTAAAAATACTTTGTTGCTTAAAGATCTTTGTAGTGCAAGGTGGCCTTGTCGAATTCTTAATTTCAAACATTTTGTTTTCAGATGCAGCCGTCCCCACAGATTACGAGATCAAAAAGGACCGTTTGACGATCTTACAAGCACTTTGATTGAAGCATGCAGAACCCTTCATCCTGAGACGTCTAGTGTAAGAAAAATTAGGACACTGCAGTATAAGAGTAAGATACGAAGTGAGATCCCACAGAGCTCTAAAAGAAAGGTGGTTACCATATTTGCTCAATAACGATATCATTTTTAGTGCCTGCTTTCAGTCCGTGGCTACACATTTGTCTCTCCAAGGCTTTTATCCTGTGTGGTGAAAGTTATACATTAGTATTCAAACGGTTCCCACAAATCTCCCTCTCACACACAAGGAATGATCGAGTGATCCACAAGAATATTCTAAAATCACCTACTCAGCATCTTAGTTATCGGCCGTGCCACCTGGTACATGTCAGAAAGCCAGAGGGAGACGGAGAGAGAGAGAGAGAGAGAGAGAGAGAGAGAGAGAAAGAGGGCCCCAGTCGTCAGATAAAAAAGTAAGGAATGGCCAGCGCTGAATGGATTTTCAACACTTTATTATGAAGACATATCTCCTCTTTTCCATTCACGCCCCACATGCACTGACACACTGCTCTCTCCACACACTATCCTCCCCATGGCGTTATCTCTCTCACCCTTTATTACTCTCACAAAAAGCGTTCAGCACAGAGCCTTGCAGATGTTCTCTCTCCCACAGGCGGATCAACCACATTCTCACATTTCAGCAAACTGGTCTTATTATCATATTGGGTGTAATTGAATTAAGGAGCAGTTTAAACTGGGTATATTTGTGCAATCAAATAAGCACAATCAAAACTAAACTGCTTTTGACGCTTCATAATTGAGTTTTTGCTCTGCAAACATGTTCCTTGATGTTGTTAGCCTCTTTATGTGGTACAGCTTAGTTTTGTCTGGAAAGAGGCAATGTGCAAAGCCCATTTTGGTATCCACCTGCCGAGATCTGAGTCCTGCTTGGTTTTTTAGTTTTTTCATGGATAGACTGCCAGGAGCATGATGTAAAACCGGGCATACATTTGCCTATAAAACCTCTCGGCTGAATAAAGTACAGTCTCCTTACAACTGAAAAGGATTTATGTCAACAGTCACAAAAGCATCCAGAACAAATAGAGGTGTTAGATCTAAAGCTCTTTTAAATGCCGTAAAAACTGGACAAAGTGTGGCCAAAAAACGCTTCTGCTGAGGAAAATATAATTAACAAGCGCTGTATCGTCTTTTTGAAACGACTAAAACCTCCTTTTGTTGAAATCGCACTTAATCAACATATAGTTGTTGCCCCCACCGTGCTGTAGCAGCATTGTTAAGTTGCTTGTTGAAAATGCAGTGTGGTTTTTCAATATTGCTGACTCGGCTTAGATGGGCAATGGCCACTAATGAGGTCGGCAGGAGAGGTCTTCCTGTTTGTTAATTTAGATCTTTTTTTCTTTTTCATTTATAGCAGTTTGGATTTGGATGAAAAGAAAGCGTATTGATTGTAGTGTTTATTATATCTACATTAGGAGCTGACGATGAGTGGGAAACTACAGCAGGAGTGACCATGCCCCGTCTACTTCAGTTTAAAAACCTTTGGTTATGTGCCTTGCTCAGCTCTTATTATTCCATTACAGAGGCCGTCTTTACTCTGTGGCATTGACTAATGGATAGCCTTTGCTGCTCTGCAAAGTGTAGGCTGTTGTATGATGTGCTTCAGCAGGCCTAGAAATGAAAAAGGTAAAGAACTCACAAAGGAAGCCCTGTGAAATCATGTTCGATGAGCCCCAGCTACAACCCCGCAGACTGGATCTGAGAGCATTTGAATGCAGCATCCATGCCACAAATTGGTCCTGTGTGTTTATGTTATTTGATACCAGTGGAGAGCTGCTATCTAGCAGGCACTGTCTTTTGATTCATCTCTGCGCCAGCACACCTGCTGAAGGCTGTGAATTGTCAGCCTTCGTGGCTCGGCATGGATCTTCGAACAGTATTTGTTCTTGTCTGCTAAGATATTGTAATCATGGGAAAGTAGCCTATCTCAGTGGTGCAACAGTTGACTTGACCCCCCTTTCTAATAGGGGAAAGAGCCAGCCTGACAGCAGTGAATGCCCTATTACTTCTGCTTTATTTGTACAACATTGCCCCCTAATGTTTTTTTCTGGTGCAACTCCTCCAGGCCTCGGGGGGGTTGTCAGAGGACAATGCTGCATCACAACAGAGTGCAGTAATTTATCACTACCTGCCCCCGGCATATTGACCACGGATACACATCACCTGTATTACTCTGTCACATCTACTTTGAGGAAAACACTGGGGAACTATGGATGTTCACACACACACACACACACACACACACACAAACATACACACACACACACACACACACACACACACACACACACACACACACAAACATACACACACACACACACACACACACACACACACACACACACACACACACACACACACACACACACACACATTTCCAAACTGGAGGGAGATATGCAGATCCAAGACAGGTATGTGAACCATGCCAGAGGGTATGCAAAATGGAGAGAGGAGTGAGAAGCTGAATTTGGAAGAAGAATGCGACGTATAAATCGTGCTGTCCACAAGTAACTGGTATGGTACTTTAGTGATAAATGAATAAATGGTTCAGCTTAGCAGTTACGACCAATATATCAGTTTTTTAATTAAATAAATCCAGTCCTAACTTGATTATGAATTAATTATATGGGGGGCTTATAGTGTATCATATACAGAAAGGCAAAATGTGAGGAGAGAAGGTTTTGTGAGGCCGGTGCGTCCTCTGGTGGCAGGAAGTCGGCATTATATTTTGACGTTTCCGTCTCCGGCAGCCATATTGCTTACAGGAGCAAATTCTGGAAAGCTAGAAGAGGAAAAGGATTTAAAGTTGATTTATATCTCCACGACTTGATACACCCAAACTACATAGGACACAATGGGTAAGCTGTTCGGTAGATCGAGAATACAGATAAGTGTTGAGATGGTGAAAGAGTTGACTGTGTGTCATCGGGAGCAATGCTTATGAAATCATCATCCTGTCACTGTTGTTCAGCTAGTTAGCGAACTCATTAGCTATGTAGCTAATGAGTTGACGATGCTACGCAGCGCAAGATTAGTTGCTAGTACGCTAGGAAAATGCTGTATATTAGGTGGTCACCACTTTCTATTCATAGAACACCGTTTAATCTATTATTTGATGCCATTCAAGGTGTGTTAACACAATCCCAACCCGAGAAAACAACCAATGCGAATTGTTAGCCAACTTAAAGAAACTTGGCTAATAGCTAGCTAACTAATTTAGCTAGCACCACCCAGTGGCGTCTTTTCTTAAGTAGGAAGACAAACTTATCGTTTAGATCTAATGTTATCATCAAGGTCAGAGCAATGTTGGCTGTTATGTCGAGGCATTAGTTTTCTTATGAGCAATCTCAAAGTCTCTCTGAGTCCCGTGTTGCTTTTAGGTGCGGATAGCGGTGACATTAGCGAGAGGTGGAGAAGCAAATGAAGCGCTCTTTATTCGGGGCTGTTTTGCGGTAGTTGGTGGGTATGTCGATTGTAACTTGGCAAGGGACTTACGACGATTCAGAAATGCTTATATCTGTAGACCTACGAGATGAAACAATTTAATAGTCATATTTATTAGGCACATATTTGTGTGCGCGCACTGGCTAGCGCTAACGTTAGCTTAGCTATGCTAGCTCTATCACTCAGCCTCGTTCTTCAAACCTGTCGCATTAGGTAGACTGTAGTGTTAATACAATACAACTATATCACATTTAAACGTTATTCTCCCTGTTAATAGATGTAGTAGTTTTCTAGTGGAGATCAGTGAGCTTGTACATTCAGTGCGGAAGGAATACATGGAACATTTGTGACAGCACACTCATAAACCAGCGTGGACATGTGACACAGAGGTCTCCGTGTTTTCCAGACTATTCCCGCACAGGATAATGCTTGTTTTGTTGGTTTTATTTTCAGTTTTTCATTTGTAATTTACAGTAGCATTACTGTAATGTACACATTTAAACAGACAACTGAAAGAGGGCAGACTATTAATAACCATCCTGCTTAGTGTATGCGTCAAGTGGAAAATGTTACACAGAAATCAGGCTGGCTCACAAACCTCTGGTCATTCTATTTTATGAGTGCTGTTCTGCCCTTCTTCAGGCTCCATTAGTTTATTTGTCACCAAAGCGGGCTGTTGTGTTTCACTTAATCGGACTAAATTACAGGGTCAGATTGGATGCTATGTAGCGGTGCAGACAGTTTCTGATCTATTTGCAGAGGTTGTGATATATCTGCTGTTGAGATCTGTGCCACCACTCTTCAGCAGAGGGTTTCCATTCCATGTCCATTCTTTTAAGCTGGTGGAAGAAATCTCAGCAAATGAAACAATCTGTCACTGTAGATACCACTAGGTGCGAACATTTTTGTCCAGATTCGAGTCAACAAACACTTAAACACCTCCCACCATTCTGCTTTCTGTCCTCTAGAGACTTCTTGATGTAGGTAGGGTCTCCTCTGAAATGCCAATGCAGGCATGTGCTCTCAGCAGAGCTATTTCTGAGCCCTCTTATCCAAACAACAAACGGCCCGTGCAATTCAGATACAGCAGCTAACAGTACACAAACAAGAGCATCCAGCCGCAACCTGTGCTTGTGTGCTGTCCACGCCCGTGGCTTTACAATCTGGACACATTACACACATGCGTAAGCTTTTTATGAGGCTGGTTGTGCTAATGCCCCCAAACCATAACATGACCTCAATTTGCGCCACTTGGTCTGATATTTAACCTCGGAAACCCCCGGTGTTACGATAGTGGGCTTTTGGCACAGACAGTTGCCACCATCCTGTGCTGGTGGCAGGTTTCAATGTTGTCCCCACCTCTCTTTCTCTCCCCTGTAACCCCGGGTGACACAGGGATCTGCCCAGTTCCCTGTTCTGGTGGCATGACTGCACAAATGCTGAGAATGGGCAATTTGTCCTGTGTGGGCACCAGTTTATGCTAACTCTGCGATTTAACTCTACTGAATAAATACGTTTGTTCTGCCTGCCAGCTGACTGGTTGATGTGGAGCTTAGCTGTGTGTGTGTGTGTGTGTGTGTGTGTGTGTGTGTGTGTGTGTGTGTATTTTTAGGAAGTGTTGTCCAGTGTCTATGAGCTTGTTTATACAAGGCCTTTTATATATAGATCTATGTACATGCTGTTTCATCATCCTGATTAGAGTCAAGTCAAGGGGAAACAAAAGCAAACTTAGTCACATGTTAACCCTTCCCTACACATGGTGTACATTAGCTTCAGCTCACGTTCAACCTGGATGAAGAAGGTAGTGCACAATGTTGTTTCCTATTGTCTTACTCATGATGTTTACCTGTGTCTGTGGCCCATCAGAGCCGTCAGCCAGTCCGGCCAAAGATAACTACAGGATGAACCGCTACAAGAACAAGGCACTGAACCCAGAGGAGATGAGGCGCAGGAGAGAGGAGGAGGGCATCCAACTCAGGAAACAGAAACGAGAACAACAGGTATTGCACCAAACCTGTCCATTCATCCCACTTGTTAGATCCTATTTTATGTTATATCAGTATGCAATTTCTGTATACTGAAAACAGTCTGGCTTGACTGTGTTGCTTTCATTTTTTTAATCATAGCTTTTCAAGAGGAGGAATGTGGACATTCTCAATGAAGAGGAGGCCATGTTCGAGAGTCCTCTGGTGGACTCCTACCTCAGCTCTCCAGTAACAGTGAGTGTCTATTTTCCTAATACCGCTGACACAGCATAGGCAACGAGAGGCTCACACAGGACCCAACCAGAGGGTTGTTTTATATTACATTTCTGTTTTGGTAGTTATTGTTGTCTAGCCTGTTCTAGCCCGCAGGTTGCAAATAGTGGAAATCTGTGTGTGCGTGTTTAGAGTTTTGGTGCTTGTATTGTTGCAGGAAGGAGTCATTACCAGAGACATGGTTGAGATGCTTTTCTCAGAGGACCCAGAGCTTCAGCTCGCTACAACACAAAAGTTCAGAAAACTACTTTCCAAAGGTATGTATTTTGTACTTACAGTTACTCTGCATAACTGTGCATAACTCATGAAGTCATCTCGACCTAAACAACAAGACTTACATCCATATTTACCTCTGTTCATTTCAGAGCCAAACCCACCAATTGATGAAGTTATAAACACACCTAGAGTAGTGGAGAGGTTTGTGGAGTTCTTGAAGATGAGTGTCAACTGCACACTACAGGTAGGTTTGTAAAAACACTGGTCACAATACCTTCTGTGTGTGGAACATGTACATAAGGTGTAAATGTGATATGTGTGCCTAACAGAAAAATCAGAAAGGGCAATGCTGGCTAGTTCAATATCAATATCCTATCCTATCTGATGACGAACAAGTCAAAGCAAGACAATGGTTCCTGATTGGCCATCATTTTTTCTTCTGTGCGCAAAGCAGTGAGGCGTAAACTCCAGTACGTGAATGGCTCACTAATGTAAAATGAATTGAAAGATCCTGAAGTTTCCTCTCATTTAATTTTTTCCTGCAGTTTGAAGCAGCTTGGGCACTGACCAACATAGCATCGGGCACATCCATGCAGACAAAAACAGTGATTGAGGCTGGAGCAGTGCCAATCTTCATTGAACTACTTAATTCCGACTTTGAAGATGTCCAAGAACAGGTAACATGCAGTTTGACTGGCATAGTATATTGTGTCTATCATCTTGTTTGTGTCTGTTAGTCTTTCCTTGTTCCATACTGTTGCACCAAATGTCCATAGGTTAACAATGGTTTGTTGTCTTATGTTTTCTGCAGGCTGTGTGGGCCTTGGGGAATATTGCAGGGGATAGTGCAGTGTGCAGGGACTACGTGCTGAACTGCAACATCCTTCCACCCCTATTAATGTAAGCCCATCCTCTTTGTCTCTGTAGAGCAAATTCAGGCATCTAACTTTTTATAATAACATGTTTACTCTCTCATGTACATGAGTTTAGCTTTCCTTTGTCATTTCAGGCTTCTGACCAAATCCACCAGATTGACCATGACTAGGAATGCAGTGTGGGCTCTGTCTAACCTCTGCAGAGGAAAAAACCCTCCACCTGCGTTTGAAAAGGTACCACTTCACTTCATGAAGTCAACAACAAAAACATGGTGATAATTCAGGCCTGCTGCAATATTAATTTTCAACATTTTGCAATGCACGTGTGGCTGTCAAATCATGCATAATGGTTAATGCTGCTTGGACACACAGTCGGATGCAGGATAAAGCCTGCATTTGTCAGAAGGTAGCTCACTGTCATTTCCATTCCTGCATAACCTGGGTGTACAACTGAAGCTCTATAGTTATCATTGCTTAACCATAGAAAATACAGATATGTATTTGCATAACATGGTTATCAACTCTCAGATTACTGGAAAGGTTGCAACAGTATTTACACTGGAGATCGAATGTCGCAGTGCAGGAAAAATGTTGTAACTTTATAGGATTTCTTTTCTTAACTTGTGAATGAAGTAATTTAATAAGTGTCACCCTGCAGTCAGGTTAAACAGTCTGGGTTTTAGAAGAGGTCACACAGTGCAGTGGGGTTATCTGTATTTATCCATTCAGACCAGCAGATGAGTCCGGTTGATCTCAGGTCACAGCTACACTATGTGAAGGATTTTTTAAAACTATAAAGGTCACAATCATACATCATTTGTATACTCGTGCACTACAATATCTTAACCAGCACTGTTTAATTCCTAAACAGAATGTAAGTGCTTGAAACTTGTGTTTCAGTTCTCATGTTGAAAAATTAGACCAAACTGCTTCCCCTCCAACTACTAATCTGCTGAAAAGTTTGAATCAATGTTTCCGTGCGTTTCTCTGTTGTTGAATTCGTATCGTTTCTCATCGTAAATATGCATTATGTCTGTGCTGTCTAGGTGTCACCCTGTCTGCCAGTGCTGTCCAGGCTTTTATTTAGCAGTGACCCAGACTTGCTGGCAGACGCCTGCTGGGCCCTGTCCTACCTCTCCGACGGCCCCAATGACAAGATCCAAGCTGTCATCGACTCCGGCGTCTGCAGGCGTCTCGTAGAACTACTCATGTAAGTCCAGCCGCTCTCTCTGTTGTCTTTGTTTCAGGAAGTATGGCCAGTAAATACTTAGAATTTGCTCTTTGTTGAATCTCCCTTTCTTTAGGCACACTGACTATAAGGTGGCCTCCCCTGCCTTGAGAGCTGTAGGAAACATTGTCACTGGAGATGACATACAAACACAGGTGAGAGTATAATAAACTTTAGTTTGTTTCATAGTTCTGCTTTTGTAGAGCCACACCATTACATTTAGTGGGGTACACTCAATTGCCTGTTTATCAGGAACACTTACGTCATACAGAGAGGTGTTTCTATTTTTTAGCCTTCCCTTAATGATATAAATCAATCTCCCTTCAAAATTTCTTTCTGAAGGGACAGTGATTTCCTTGTTTGGCAAGCTAAGTACACAATACTTGCCATGTGGATCAAAATAAAGGAATATTGGAGACAGCAGTGGAAAAGTAGAGCACAGAGGCATGGCTATATTTGGCTGTGGCTGCGCAGACAATATACGTTAGGACGAATTCATTGTTGCTTTTGTTTTGTCTTTATATTTAGTACTTTTTATAAACATCTTGTAAGGTTTGTACACACTCTGTCTCTGCCTACAGGTGGTGTTGAACTGCTCAGCCCTGCCCTGTCTGCTGCACCTTCTCAGCAGTGCTAAAGAGTCCATTCGCAAAGAGGCCTGCTGGACCATCTCAAACATCACAGCAGGAAACCGAGCACAAATACAGGTGACGCGCACACACACAAAGCTCATAACTCTGCAGGGTTGGGTTGGTCATGCTTTTCCACTGATACCGAATCCATTCCTATACTTAAAACGACATATATTTGTCTTTGTTCTGTTCTACATGAAACAGCTACTTCTCTCTGGTTAAACCATTTATTCTAGTAAATTAACAGATAGTAAGAAGGCCTTTTGACATAGTGACATTTTATGAACATCAATTTGTAGTCCATGATGATTATTATATCCGAGATATGATAAATATTTGTTGCATTTTTAGGCCCTTTGGCTATTTAAGCATTTTCATTTACAAAATAGCCTTGATATGTCACTGCACACTGTGGTACACTGTCTGTAATAAGCTTATTAATCATTTGTGGCACCCTGCTATCTGGCATTTTCCTCCAATAATCCTCCACAGCCATGGCAGCAGAATCTTATACTATATATTTATATTGTGCTATTTTTTTTCGCCATGTTATATTGTTTTGTAATAATGACATAAATATCTAAATTAATGGCACTGTAATAAGATTAATCTCACTGTATGGAAATGTCAGCACTGTACAGTATTTCTGACCTTTTTATATAATCACAGCTGGCATAATTTAATCTGTTATTAATTGTTTGTTCACTGTATGTTGTAGTGGAGTGTTTTGTATTCTGTGTCCTTTCCCAAAACTCTGAATCATACTGCTTTTGCCTGTTCCAAAAACCAAATATTTCCTAATGTATATAACTACACTTTTAAATAAGTGAGTTTAGTTAGTCAGAATCGGCTTTATCGGCCAAGTATGTGCACACATACAAGGATTTTCGCCTTTGTTTGTTATATTCCAAACATTTGTCTATAATAAAGACTGCATAGTTTGATTTGAGATCAGTTTTTGAAATAGACACTTAGAGACTGATCGGTCCATCTATCATTCAACACAGTCCTCACAGGCCCACGATACAGTAGCTGAGTTAGAGTAGATGGGCCCAGATCGCCGGTCGATTGGTTTTGTGGAACTTGCAAAGGTATGTCATAACTGTGTTGAAGCTGCTTTTTTCGGGCATGCCCCTGAAGTCATATCTTATCCTACCCCACAGACGGTAATTGATGCCAACATCTTCCCAGTGCTGATCGACATTCTACAGAAAGCCGAGTTCAGAACCAGGAAAGAGGCAGCCTGGGCCATCACTAACGCCACCTCTGGAGGAACACCAGAACAGATCAGGTCAGACTTAGAGTAAATAAACAACAGCATATTACTAGTGTCCCTCAGCTAATGACAAGATTGAGTTGGATGCGATTACCTCTTTATTTCAGTAAGTTAATAGTGTCAGAACCAGATCAGTTGGGGCTACTAAATGAACTAGTCAGTTAAAAGTGTTTGCTAGTCAAGCCTTTAGTGATGACTGTGGAAGCACAAATAGCATAACATGTTCATGTGTTCAAATCTTTCCCTGACAGTGAGAGTCTGATAAAGTCAGAAAAAACTGATAAAAGTTCCAGCTTGTTGGAAAAGAGTCACAATATGAAGTGATGGTTTAATGGTGAAGAAATCAAGAAATAAAAATGTTTTAGTGAAAATTTCTTCATGGAGGAATTGTGTGATTTTAAAAAGTGAAAAATTGAGGTTTAATATTATGCACAAGAACAATAGGAATGAACAGTAGAAGCTTAAATTACAATAAATGTAACTAACTGAACTAGATCAATTAAAGCAAACAACTTGGTAATTAAGTTAAGCTGTGTAGTGTGATTAAAATCTAATGTCACTTTGAACAGTCTGTCCTACTTCGCGTTCATCTTTGAACCATGTTGATAGGATGTTCTTAGCCTAAAATATAATAATAGTGCAACACAAAAAAATGAATAGTATAATTCGTGGTCTTACTTTGATTTGTGGAATAATCATACTCTTAAGTTTTGGATCTACAGTTCCCATAATTTGGGGGCTTTGGGGATATAAACACGAAGTATAGTAGTGGCTTATCTATTGTCTACATCTTGAGCCCTGCTTTTTTAGCCTATTTACATTTTGGCAACCATTAGCAGTTCACACTTGCAATGTATCCATGGATGTACCAAAAAGTCACTTGATTACAGTCATACTGAAGAAAACATGATAATTGGGAGATAATGATATGCTCGAAGAGTGTAAGTCACACTGAATCTAAAAATATGAGGAGTAAGAACACAGTATTGTGAATTAAGTTGTGACCCTGAAATTAAACAGAATTGTGTGTGTGTGTGTGTGTGTGTGTGTGTGTGTGTGTGTGTGTGTGTGTGTGTGTGTGTGTGTGTGTGTGTGTCATATAGATATCTGGTGAACCTGGGCTGCATTAAGCCCTTGTGTGATCTGCTGACGGTGATGGACTCAAAGATCGTTCAGGTAGCTCTCAACGGGCTGGAGAACATCCTGAGGCTGGGCGAGCAGGAGGCCAAGCAGGAGAACAATGGCACTGGAGTTAACCCTTACTGCAGCCTCATTGAAGAAGCCTATGGTACTGTACATGATGTCCACACAAACACACGGGTTCGACATACTGTATGGCATACGACATAACTGGATGAAACTGATGATAGGTGATAGGCTGTGTTCAAACTTTGTGTTCTTTCGTTTCAAAGAGCAGTGTTGACAATTTGACATTGTAGACAGCAGTGACCGCCTCGGCCGGATTTTATTGTTTTCTTTTTTCAAATGAAAGTTCAATTTCTGGCTGATAATCTAGCAAAAATACATTTATCTAACGTTACTTGTTTTTCCAGGTCTTGACAAGATAGAGTTCCTCCAGAGCCACGACAACCAGGAGATCTACCAGAAGGCCTTTGACCTAATCGAGCACTACTTTGGGGTGGAGGACGAGGACAACAGTCTAGCCCCTCAGGTGGACCAGGCCAACCAGCAGTTCCTTTTCCCCCAGCAGGAGGCCCCCATGGAGGGCTTCCAGCTATAAGTCAGCACCCTTCTCTAGAATTCACCATTTACCCCCTTCCATACCTCCCAATCTCATGGAGGGCCCCTAGATGCCCGAGTCATACTTCTATGCCCTGTTCCCTGACCTGCCATCACACCCCCGCCACCGCTACCATCACCACACACACACACCCCCTTTGGAGGAAAACTAAAACTGTCCCGCTCTCCAGCCTAAAAGTACCCCTCTTTCTTCATTCTCCTCAACCAGTGGACTGACTTCTTGCAGGGCAGACTCATGTGATACCTGGCCAAGGGGAGCGCGCCACACAAACTCCATTACCCGTAGAAGAGGAAGTGATCCCAAAGTGTGAGTCTGCCCTGGCTTAAAACGCACACACCGACATCTTCCTGCCATTTGATAGCTCTTAGATTCTCTCATTGGCAGTAACGATGGTTTGTTTGTTTTTGGTCTTTATATACACTTTCATTTCTTTTCCAATGGGACATTCCTATTTTCTGGATAACCCAAGCATCCACAAGTCCACAGACTGGGGTGCATGAGGTGAAATATGCCTAGCTCTTGATGTCAGATTGACTTAGTACAATTCAAAGATGAAACCAACTCGTAACATGATCCCTTTTTGTTTTAGGATTATTTTCTCCCAAAACCTGATTTACTGCTCCTTTTTTTTTTTTTCCTTTTTCTTGATTGGCTTAGGGCTGGACTGCTGATCTGTATAGGGGGGTTCAGATGCACAAATGTCCACCCAAAGTCGAGGGCTTTCTACTACCCTGAGTCTGATGCGTGATCTTTTTTTTTTCTTCAATCTATTGACTTTTTTTTTACAAGTGGGACAAATTTCAGGGGGGAGGGTTGAGGTGGGATGAAGTGTAAAAATAGGAATTTAGGGAAGGCTCTGAATGGGATAGTGGAAAAGGGATTGGGTTTTTAGAGGATTTGTTTAAAGGTCTATGAAAAAAAATAATCCAGGTGTTGAGGGTGGTATAGTTAGAGATCCTATGTTCGTCGTGTGCTGTGTTATTAATAACAATACATTTGAAATATGAAGTGATCTAACTATTAAACGAGGCATGGCTGGGGGTTCAGGGGGAAAAGAGCTGGCGGCAGCAGCAGCAAACCGAGCTTATTTTTATATTGAAATGAATTCAAGGGATTGCAGATGTTTAAAGTAGGGTGAAATACCACTTGCAGTAGAGACATGTCATGGAACATTTATAGTTTGGATTTCTTTTTTTCTTTTTTATTTCATTGGAGCCCAGTGTAAACGGGTTGCTGCTGGTTAGCTAGGCCCTGTGGTCCCCCCCCCCCTCCCCAGATGTATGTGGTAGGGATTTTGCATGGTGTTATATTACCCTGCCTACAGTCACTGAGTATCCCTGGCCAAACACACAGTTGCCAAAGAGAGACAGAGAACAGTGTGAAGAGAAGCTGTGAGACATTGCTCTACACTGTTCAGCATTTGGAGTTTAAAACAAAAAAAAACAGGAACTGTGCCACAACTAATTGGTTTGGTGATGTAAACAGTGATAGTATAGTGGCAGTGGTGGTGTTTTGTATAGTGATAGAGTTGATATATAACCCTTGGCTTTCTATATCACTATATCTTTGAGGAATGGGAATAACAGCTGTCAATGATTTTGCATGGGTCCATTGTGATATGTGTAGGTACTGATGTAAATAGCCTATCCTCTGCCTGGCTAGGAGAGTCTACGCCGCTTCTTTGTCCCCTCGTGGGTCTAATAACAGCAAGAGTTTGGCTAGGGATATATCTCAAACAAGTGACAAGCCTAACTGCAACAAAAAATTCAAGTATAAATATATATTTGAATTTTGATGTACTTGCATTATATATATATATATATATTTGCGCACACTTCATGCACACTTGCATACAACACCAGCAGACACTGTACACACACCTCACACAGATGAGTGGCTAGTAGCAAGTAAAATAGTTTCCATGGTCTTTTGGAATGAAAAAAAGTAGCTATTCTTTTTATTTTTGCCATTTTTGGCTGTTTGTTTTTTCAGAGCACTTAGTATATTTTCTTTATTTATGAAAATGCTGCCCTTGGTTCAGTTTTAATGGAGATTATTTTCTGTTTTAATTGAGACAATGGAAAGAGATGTTCCTTGAATTCTAAAGTGACTCAGAGCACACTTAAGTCTTATGGAAACTTTTTTGTTTGTTTGTTTCTAGCCACGTGACTTACGATGGTTTATATTAGCCACGTAAACCCTAACCCCGGATCGGCTCTGCCCGTGACAGAAGCTGATCTTGGATCAGAGTTTAGGCTTTGTGGATAGAGCAGAACTGTGGTTGTGTGATGTTTGACTGACAGGCACTGTGTAAGGAAGAGGTTGATTGACTCTATGACTATGTCCCCATCAGAGTCTAGGAGCCCCTGTTCTGTGGATTACTGAAACAGCCCTAACATTTAATCATGGACCCGTTAACAGAATTATGTTTACTCTCAACAAAAATATGTTGCATATCCTCAGATTTATTACTTTATTCTTTACAAAAAACAATTTCCTTTTTATATGATAGGACATCTTTTTGGATGGACAGACTTGGATGTTTCCATTTGGGTTGTTTCAGTATTACATTTTTACACATGCCTTTTAACTTCCTTTGTCAGTGCAGATTATTATATGACATGCAAGGGTTTACGCGTTAATTGGCAGGGGAACATATGTTAGTGAGGCTCTCTGTTTTTGCTTTCATGAGTTTAAGATGTTATCCACAGAACACGTGCGCTCCTAGTAAGAGTTTAAATCATGAATAATTGAGCATCAAGAACTTACTTCTACACGACAGATGTGTAGAGCAGCATTTATACCTGAAGTCTTCGATTTCATGGCCAATTCTGTGCTTGGCCGACAAATAATGCCAGAATTGCAATGTTTAAAAAAAAAAAAAAAAAAAAAATGAAAGAAAAAAGAATCGGTGAGTCGACCAGGAAAAATATTTATATTTCTGAAAACTGAAAATGCACTCCTATTCACAAAAGTGCCAATCCGACCAACAAAGACTGGAGGTTCTTCTGTATCTGTCTTTGACTTACAGATTATTTTTCTTTATATCTTTTATTTACTTGAATGTGCACACATTTTGTGCAGAACATTGCTGCTCTATTTTCCTTATCTTTAGAGTTACATTATTTGCCATTGTTTCTTTGGAAAAAGTGGCATTCTTTACTGTGGGCACCTAAATAAGGAATTGAATTAAGGCAGTGTAATTGTCTGGGGGGGAAATTACTTGACTAATTGCATAAAACTGGTCTTTCCAGCTACTTGTTGTCCATTGGTTTGATAGTCCCCACTATTGCAGTCTTCTAATGGTTTTCACTGTGCATAGCTAAGCTACAAAATGTTTTGGAATCAGAGAATTGATTTCATGTGGCAAATACAGTAGAGTATAATATTTAGCATTTTCATGAGGTCACAGCCTGTAGCCTGCACCCCTCTTTGTTCAAAAAGAAACTCTGCACAGACTGAAATATTGTAGTACTTAGATTTGGCACATGATGCAAATTGAGGAAACGTAAGCGACTATCATAGGAGACAATTGCAGGTACTAACCTTATTGTCGTAGTTTACCAAAGTGTTGTCGTCCTGAAGGCTGGTTGAAATTATTTACTGGATGTTTTTGTTCTCAATAATTTATCGAATTGGCTTGTGTTGACCCAGTCAGTACGACTGAGAGATTGCTTCAGGTCATTTATAACTTGCTTCTTTTCATTAGAAGCTGCAATAGCTCAGTCCCTTTTTTTTTTAAAGTTCAAGTACTGTTTAGGGAGTTTATAAAATCTGCAAAATAATCCTGAAGACTGCAATAAATATTGTCCCAAATCAGGCACCCCAGAGGCAAAGATCCACCTACAAACTGCTCTCACAGGTGACACTCCTTCCACTGGGTGGAGCTTACAGAGGCAACTACTTGACCTTTTTCTAAGATAAAAGATCTGGGATTCAGAAATTGTGCAGTGATTTACATTAAAAAGTATTATAAGTTAAACTATATGTATGTTCTGATACATTGACAGGGATTCAGATGCAATTCTAATCACTTCTGAGAAGTGGCGAAAAAAGCCTCATTAGAACACGTCACAGGAAAAAAAGGACAATAAAATAGGAGGTGTGGATACAAGCCTTTTCTGCTTTTTCTTGATCTTTTTCCTGATCAGGATATTCTGGGCTATATTTTTGGATAATTGTGTTTAGAGTAAAAGTTTGTCCTAGTCAGGCTGCATGATCAGGAACCTTGTTATCTATAGGGGAATGAACAGACATCACTAAATATCTCAAATCTGACTTGTCTTCCGTCCTAGAAGCTGTTCATGTCTATATCAAAATCTAAAGCCATGCTTGGCTTGGTCAAGTAATGTTGTCTACGCTACAAATGTTTACAATGCTACATGTTTGTAAAATACTTTTCATTTGCCATCACTGACCAGTCCTGGTGTATTCTCTGCTCTGGTCCTCTCATTTCTTTTACATGTATTTATTTTCTCTATTCTTGTTTATGATTTTTCATTTGCTCAAAATTACCCATCTTAAACTGTGACTTGACTTGACTTTACCGACGGTATGAATGAGTGACGACAAACTAATACACTTCAACTGAACATGACACACAAACATGAACATGAAAAAAATGCATACAGGAAACAGCAACAATATTAAAAATGTAAAGAAAATATGTTTAAAATTGTTCAGTGGAAATACTGTACAAAACAAATAAAGTTATGTTGCAACCCTTTAATGCGAATGTTTCTTCTTGTTTTGACTCCAGCATGCTATGTGAAGGATTGTTACTGGACCACTGGGGGGGGGGAGAGAGCTTCTGGGAATACATTCCTCTGCATCCTAGGAGCAAACCTCCAGTGAGGTATTGACTTATTGCTGAGAAAATTCACATTTTTTTATTTTGTTTAGATTTTGGATGCCTTCAATGCAATGTATTTCACCTAAGACAGTGTTGTTTTTTTTTTTTTAGAAAGTTTTTAAGCTAAAAGCATTTTTATTTATTTTTTCAGAGCCACAGACTTTTGGATTTTCTAAAAAATACAAGTAGTAATCCTGTAGATGGCAGCAAAGCAACAAGCTGGGCTGTAAACCGCCATAAAGAAAAACAAAGAAGAAGAAGAATCCAAAGTTATGACCGGAAGTGTTTTTTCTGGCTCATGCTGTTAAGGAAACCTGCAGTTCACAGACACATTAGCTATTTCCTCATTGAGCCTGAAGGTAAACAATTCCCTAATATCTGAGAGGGTGGAATATAATTTAGAAACAAGTACATGTACAGTCCGTCAATGTCTTTAGATGTGTGTGTCTTTTATACACGAGCTAATACTGGCTAACTTAAGTTAGCTGCATCTGGCGGCTAGCGAGCGTTAGCATGAGCTAACTTAGCTAACGTAATGTGAAAGCTAGTATCAGAGGGCACACTTGATAAGAAATGTGGCTAAAATTTGCGATGACATTTTGAAGTCCACATGCCATGCTAAGACTCGTATTGTTAACGTAACGTTATGTATAACGAGTAGCTACAGGCTAACTAACTAATACTAATGTTAACGTACAGGAGGGTGTCACAGCATTCCATATAAGTTACCAACGTTACAATTCTGGCGGTGAAATGTTTCCGTACTCATTATAGTTATTAGCAGAATCAAGATAAGACGTGTTCATTTGCAACTTGAGTCCAGCTTTCACCAAACCTGTTAACACAAAGCAGCGGTTACCTTTAGCTCTGACATTTCAGTAAGCTACGTCTGGCTCGTCCGTTGCTAATACCAACGTTAGGCGTTATACACTGGAGGACGACAGCTGAGTTAGCAACATGACTTTCACATTTAGTTAAAGAGTCAGTTAAAGGTCAGCTTGGTTATTCAGTTGCTGTTTTACGCGAGGCTGTGTCGTTACAGCGGAGCCTAGAAAAAGAAAAACCATGTTTATGGCGTTTCATTTTTCACTGCGTCATTTGGGTTAAAATTCATGAAATGGCTGAGGCGTCAACGAGCTCATTTTACGTGTTTACTCTAAAATTGTACATCGGTGTCTTTGTTAGTAAGCCAAGTACTGCGTGGTTTTTGTTTTTTTATCTACTTGTAACAGATACCAGAGATGAAAAAACAGGACACAGAAGAGTCTGTCAGCCAGGGCAGTGAGGATGCTCCACCTGCAGCCGGAGAGACGGAGCAACCTGCAGCTGCAAAAGACAGCTCAGACGGCAACAGCCCCAAAGAGTCTGAACCACAGACCCCACAGACAGACACCCCACAGACAGACACCCCACAGACAGACACCCCACAGACAGAAACCCCACAGACAGAAACCCCACAGACAGACACCCCACAGACAGAAACCCCACAGACAGACACACCTCCACAGAGTGACGAGGCGGGAAGTGAAGGTAACAGGACATGTCCGTGTGGTTGGCAAATCCCGAAAGTGTACACTGATTTGTATTTATTCAAAGGATGTTTTTTTTAATAAGTCAACCACAATGCTTGATACATATTGAAAATTGGACAATCAAAAACCTGCCATATCGTGGTGCTTATTAGCAACCAAATTTACTTGTTCAGGACATCACTCTTGTGTACTTAAATGTATTAATAAAACATTGTATTTCAAGTGCCTCAATTTTGTGTCACCGTCATGTTTTGTTTGGAGGAAAAAAGCATTAAGTCATGACCAGGAGTCGGACATGCAGGATGTATTACCAGCAGCAGTTTCAAATCCTGGGTTTTGTGTTGTAGGGTGTGTTTTATAGGCTCACAGCTTCAGTACAAAAAGTCACCAAAAAATTGCTTTCTTTCTAATCATGTTTTTTTGTATCTCTTTGCTCTGTCTAGTTGCAGAGGCGCCACTGTCTCAGTGTGACATGGCTGAGGAGCTGAGCCGGCAGCTGGAGGACATTCTCAGCACCTACTGTCGGGAAAGCATGTCAGACGACGCCAGCTCCCTGCCCAACGGCCAGTCACACAGCCTAGAGCTCAATGGTCTGACCAGGGAACTCGACAAGCCAGCGGAGGGCAAAGTCAATGGAGCAAACAACGGGGTGGAGAAGGAGCAGAAGAAGACTCAGGACAAGAAGAAAGTGAAGGGTCTGGGTAAGGAGTAATTTACTGTTTATATCCATTTTGCTGACAAGACCTCCAGAGAATAAAACGTCTCAAAATGTTCCCCTCATTGCACTCTGCTCACCCCGTAGAGATTGTATATTTTTACAGATTGGCGATACTATCACAGTAGTGAGCACCGGAAACTTACCCATGTACCATCAGTATTATACAGATACGCAAACTAAAAATTGGGGCATCTTTTAAACTGTTTGGTTTAGTTTGCTAAAGAAACAAATCACTAGGACTGTTGTGTTTTCTAACAGGCTCCTGTCTCTGTTTTTCCTTGTTTATGCAGGAAAAGAGATCACTCTTCTCATGCAGACTCTGAACACATTGAGCACCCCAGAGGAAAAGCTTGCAGGTCTCTGTAAGAAGTATGCCGAACTGGTGAGTGTTTCCTGCAAAAGGGATTCTCTTTTATTCTTAAATCTAGAATGTGGCAATACACTTGATCTTGGTCTTCTCTTAATTCACTATAATAATTTTGTGTGGATATACATTTTAAGAAATTCCCCCTGCTGCCTTCAGTAGTTGAGGGAAATTGTTCTCTCTTGTTGGAATAATCTTTACAAAATAACAGACGTATACTCACAGACATTACTGTGATTTCTTATTTTATTCAGTCAGTTGGTAGTCTGTCTGTCAATTACACAAGACGATGAGGAGATTAAGTACCTCAGACTTAGAAAGTGAAATATGGCGTTTTGTCACTAAGTTCAGAATTCAGACAGTAACTGAATTGAGAATTTGTGGTATCTGATAAAGGTATATTACGGTTAATGGAAAGTCAGGTTCCTGGTGGTTCCTGTGAAGGTAGAATACAATCTGAGTGAAAATAGAAAACACCCCAGTAACATACATTCAATGGTGCCAAATGATTTAAAGATGCATGAATTACCCTTGATGTAATTACTGTCTGGTCCAGTAGCCTACATGACCAGATAATGTTTTATTTAAAAATGGTAAAATCGGGTGCTTTTCTAGACTTGTCTGACTTCTGATTTAGGACACAGTGTCAGCCAATGGGACTTCTATGCAAACAAGGTGTGTACTTCAAGGTGATGCAGCTATCGTTCTCAAACAGACACAGACTGGTGCAATGCGGAGCTCTCTGTCCTACGACCTCAATACATGCCAGGGTGTTGTGTAGCATTTTGCAGCACTAATGATGACCTCGAATGATCTCCTGGGGCTGCATATGCTGTAGGAAGGTTTTATATTGACTGTGTGTTTGTGCGTGTACGTTTGCAAGACAGGCTATTTGTTCAGATGTGTTCAAGCCTGAGAAAGCTGATATGTGTGATTTGGCAGCATGTCAGAACAAATAGAGGAAGATTAGTCTGCAGTGTAGTTGTTGGCTGGAGGAAGACAAAAGCATCTGAATTGTCATTTACACAGCAGCTGAAAAATTTGTTGTTTCAGCACCACAGATTATTAGAAAACAAAGCAGTTTACGACATAGTAGTATTGTTTCTAATATAAAAAAATAGCTTGAGTTGATGAGTATTTATTATCCCAAACTGATTTAAAATCTCAACCGTAACACATAGTGTAATCAAAAAACCTCAAACCATATGTGTGTCTTTGTGACAGCTGGAAGAGCACCGCAACACCCAGAAGCAGATGCGAGTGCTGCAGAAGAAGCAGAACCAGCTGGTCCAAGAGAAAGACAACCTGAGGAACGAACACAGCAAGGCCATCCTGGCTCGCAGCAAGCTGGAAAGTCTCTGCAGGGAGCTGCAGAGACACAACCGCACACTCAAGGTACAAAACAGGCCCCAGCATCATGAATATAGATTCCTAACTGCTGCATTGATTTGATGAATGGCTTCCTGCAAGCATAGCTGTTCTATGGTCCAGTTTCTGTATAATTATGAGGTTATCTGAGTTCTCAGATTAACTACCTTCATCTCTTATGTGGAGAATACAGGGATTTGAGTAAGGATCAGAACATGGTATATTTAGAAACATTTGCATTTACTCCAGATTTTAAAAATATATTGATTTGGGACAGATTTGACCAAACTGGTGGAAGTCTGAGAATGTTATCTCTTTTAAGTTTGTGATCCTGAGATGAACCAGCTTTCTGAAGAGGGAACAGACACCACATAAATGTTACGTTATCATGTTCCACTTCCCAGGAAGAAGGGATGCAAAGAACACGTCTGGAGGAGGAGAAAAGAAAGGAAGTGACCTCTCATTTCCAGGTGACTCTGAATGACATCCAGGCTCAGATGGAGCAGCACAACGAGAGGAACGCCAGTCTCCGACAGGAGAACACAGAGCTGGCTGAGAAACTGAAGAAGCTCTATGAACAATACAAACTACGAGAAGAGGTACGTTGGAAGGTTTTTTCCCCCCACAACTGTATGTTTTAAGTACAGTGTGTGAGTTTAATTTCAAGCTGTTAGTCTTAATGTGCAATCATGTCAATTGACTAAATTTTACAGGATGTGTAACAGACATTTTAATTTCTCTGACCTTGTGAAACCCCCACCAGCATATAGATAAAGTGGTCAAGCACAAAGACCTGCAGCAACAGCTGGTGGACGCCAAGCTGCACCAGGCTCAGGAGCTGCTGAAGGAGTCAGAAGAACGGCACGACAGAGAGAAAGAATTTGTAATTATACTCTCAACAGGCACTCACACATTTACAAAATACAAGTCCTGTTGGTAAACATGAATGGTAATTATTTCTCTTTCCCTTATTTCCTCAGCTGCTGAAAGAAGCAGTGGAGTCTCAAAGGATGTGTGAGCTAATGAAGCAGCAGGAAGTTCACCTCAAGCAGCAGGTTTCCCATCAGTCTTTACTCTTCACCTTTATAGCTCGACTATTACTGACTGTACCATAAACATTTTCCTTTTGTCGCAACAAGCATCTTTATATGATCAAACCCGCATGGTGTGTTTTCCAGCTGTCACTGTACACAGAGAAGTTTGAAGAGTTTCAGACCACTTTGTCCAAGAGCAACGAGGTCTTCACCACGTTCAAACAGGAGATGGAGAAGGTGAGGAGTCTGTTACTGTGAGTGTGCAAGATGGAGAGAAGGAGGACTTGTATTTACCTTCAGCTGAACGTAACAGTCTTATCCTCTGTGTTACAGATGACTAAAAAGATCAAAAAGCTGGAAAAGGAGACGGCCATGTATAGGTCCAGGTGGGAGAGCAGCAACAAGGCTCTTCTGGAGATGGCAGAGGAGGTAAAGCAGCCTTTTGTTTTTATTGTCAATCTCTACGCAAAAACTCGATTCTGGTCTACCAGCATCTCATGGACATGAACATCACATTATGTCTGATGACTGACCAACCAAAAAATGCAAAACAGACAGTTCAGACAAACAACTAGCTTTAGATGGCAATATATAGAAGGCCCTGCTTAACCAAGGATACATTTGGTCATGGAAGCTTGTGCTTATTTGATGCTTAAAGACACCTAAAGGAATAATGACTTGATTTTTTTAAAAAGGTAATCAGTAACTCTATCAGGTTATATTTTTAAAGTAACCCTCCCAACCCTGGTCCAAAATTGTGCAGCATTTGATGTGTTGATGTGTTAGAATTCAAATATCAACTGAAGCTTTAAACACTTTAATAAAGCCCTAAAATTCACTTCAGATAACTGTAACACAAAAAGACTGATATTAGCATTGTGTGTGTTTGTGTGTGTGTGTATATGTTTTGTTTACAGAAATCTGTGCGCGACCATGATTTTGAGGCACTTCAAGGTAAAGTCCAGCGGCTCGAGAAGCTGCGGCGGGCGTTAAAGGTTGAGCGCAATGAGCTCAACAAGAAGGTTCAGAACCTCAGCGATCCCCACAGTGGCACCGCAGGAGCCCCCACCTCCGACCCAGGGACTGACTCCCCCTCTCCGCCACCTACAGACTCTTTACTGGAACCCAGCAGCCACCCTGTCCCAGATATGACCCCCTGCTCCCAGTCCTGCCACTGTGACCCAGAACTGGACACAGACAGCCTGCTAGAAGGGGCAAAGGCTCAGCCCATCGCTGCACAGGAATGAAGCAACGCTGCTCACCGTCTCCTCTCTCCCCTTCAGCATCAAGCCACCAAACAATAAGCCGTCAGCCTGCAAGCCACTACTCCTCTGCTGGATGAAGCTGATGTTAAACACTGGTCCAGAAGCAGATCAGATAGCAAGTTTAACTTGTGTCCTCCCAGCATGCTCTGCAGGCTTTATAAAGGTGATGGGAAGATTGTGCCTCATGTCAGTACATTTACATGCACACCATAGTTCAGTTACTGTGAATAACCTGATTAATGCAGTAGTTTGATTAAATGGTTTACAATAACCTCATTTCCCCAATAATCACATTTTATGATTCATTTAGTCTATAGAAAACATCTAATTAGCATCAAGTTGAGGGGGGAATTTGGGAGATATTTTTGGTGGTGGTTTTTTTCACAAGTTGCTAAATGATTTAATTTATTAGTCATAAAATTACCCCATTTTAGATGACACTCCAAAAAAACATGCTACACATGCTGCTATTTCTGTATAGAAGCACAGGTTTCAGTCCACAACCTCTCTGGCATATATGCACTTAATTCAAGCATGGAAAGATATCAGGCCCGAGGTGTATACATATCACAGTCATCAAAAAGACAGCTCTGTTATGCTCGTTCCAACTTAAACCTTTACTTGACGGCTCTGTTTACATGATAGCTGCAGCAATCTGTAATGTCATGATCAGTGTGCATGTAAATGCACAAACTGCCTCTGTGCTCTTTTATTACACATTCCCTTTTTTGACTTGCAACAAACATGGAACTGCTTGGCAGGATAAATAACAGTGCTGCTTGGGATGACACAAGAAAAACAGGTTTATGGCAAGAGGATTTATCAGAGGTTGAATTATTATATTACGTTATGTGTGTGCGTGTTGGGCCACTTGGTCTCATGTGCATCTTCAGTGTCAATGTTATGGGCAGGGGTTTGATTCGTAGTTTGCAGTATCCTAAAGGCCACTGATAGTAACTTAATGTTTTTCTTCGAAGTGAAGTCTTAAAAGAGATAGAGAAACAAATAATGTTATAGCTAATTCAAAATAAAAAATATTATAGAATTCTACATTATTGTTTTTTTTTTTCTTATTTTTTACACAGCTCAAATGTTCAGAACACTTTACAATGTTTGTTTCACCAGAGTTCTCTCTTCTTTAGGGAAATGTTTCTTTGTTTTCTTGTTTTTATCACACTACTGCATTTTTGCGGTGTTTGATTTTGTGGTCTGTATTTATTGTTTGAAGCATAATCTCTGATACTGAAGTGTATGTATCTTACAGAGCACCACTATAAAAATAAAACAGTTTATTTTTATTAATTTAGAAAATATATAAAGGTGTTACTTTTATGACCAACTTTTCATTCCCAGCATTTGCTCTTAGCTCCATTTGTTTCGTGTTTCTTTTTTTTCTGCTTATCGTGATAACGACCACTTTAAACTTGTTTAACTCCATCTTCGTGCGTTTGGTACGAGTGTCTGTGTGAGAGGCTTATGTGGTTAGGATTGTCTCCTCCCAGACCTGGTAATTGCAGTAGCTTGTGATCAGGTTTTAACTAGAGAATGTTCAAGGACCTCTATGCAACGCTTGCCTCTTGGTTTTATTCTGTGGCAGTCTGAACTGACAAGCACTTAGCTGAGAATGTATATTCATTATATCAACTGTCCTGCATGGATGTATTATGTAAACAGACAACATATCTCACAGCAGAACTCTATTTTTGCTTAGGTTTGAACCTATTGCCTCTCAGTTGTTATTTAACATTGAACGTCATATTGTGCATCTCCCTGATGCTTTTAAAGGGTGCAGTGACTGAGCCGAGTGGGAGCAAGGAGGGAGAATTAGAGAAAATGTTATTGGACTACTGAACATGTCCATTTCCTATCTTCAGACATGTACTACTTGATATGTAGCATCGGTAACAAGGTGTCAACTTATAGAATCAGTCATTCCTTAATAGAAATGACAAACCTAATTTCTTCCATTGTCACACAGGACACATTCATTGTACCTCCGGTCCAATGGTGGGTGTGGAGCATGTGAAGGAACCAAAGATGTTTCCTTTTTGTCTTTTGCAGTACTTTTATCTGGCCCTGTATATTTTGGTTTATTGTTAAATAAAATATGTAACAATGTATATTTGACCTTGTTGTCTTATTTAGGACTAAAGATGTAAGAGCATGTTTTGATATGATAAAGATGAACGCAGCACTGTTCATTCTGCTGCAGTTTCAAATCTGTAAGATGTAAGAAAAGCAGTCTGTTTCTATTTCTTTGTGGCAAAATACATATTACACATTTGTATCAGTTTATACATTATTATATCAGTATCAGGTGTTTCTCTTTTCTTTATGCTGTTTTCCAGTTCCTTTTAATTACGCTCCTTCAATGGAAATAATATCCCATTAAAACACCTTAATTACGATATTATTAAATAGAAACTGTAGGGTACTTTAGGGTAAAACCGGTAAAAGTTTTATAGTTAGTCGTATACGATGTGCTTGAGTGGAGTATTGCAGTAGAGGGCGCCATCTTGCGCCATCTTGCCTTTTGACACCGGAAGTACGTCACCTTCCTCTTCCGCCGCGGCTCCGGCGCCTGAAACACGAGTGTTCATCTTTTCTCTCTCTTTACGCGAGGCGCAGTGTAGAAACTGGACCGACTGGCAACACTTAGCCGAGGAAAATGGTTAGTATATTCCTCAGTGATAGTCTCCTAAGAGTTACATCTTAACCAGAACTGTGTTTATTCTATTGCTGAGACTGTTAGCTCCATCTTAGCGAGCATATCTAGCTAATGTTAGCTTAGCCTTCTAATGAGCTAACGTTAACAAACGTTAGCTGCATGATGTGGGTGACGCAAGAAGATTCACCGGCCCCTGGCAGCTGGTAGAGCTATCCAGATGTGCCTTTATGTAAAGATAAATAAGTAAAGCTAACGCTGATAGCTGGTTTGTTATCACAGACCACAGCCTCAATATGTTTCCCTATTAAAAACGCCATTACGCTTCATTGAGTGACCTGCTCGGGTGAAGACGTTGAGCTGCTGTTAGCTGGAGCAGCTGGAGCTCATTGATGTGCTGATGTACACTCCTCTCCACAGAAACCCATCCTGCTGCAGGGCCATGAGAGATCCATCACTCAAATCAAGTACAACAGAGAAGGAGACCTGCTCTTCTCTGTAGCTAAGGACACGGTGAGTTGACAGTTATTGAGATAGGCCCTGACCCCTGACCCCTGCCCTTATCATATTATCATATTATCCCACATGCAGTTTGCTTGCTGTTAACTTATTTGGGTTTGGTTTGGTATCTGTTCTGTCTCTGTAGGTAACCAACGTGTGGTACTCTGTCAATGGCGAGAGGCTCGGCACCTACAATGGACACACAGGAGCTGTGTGGTGTGTCGACTGTGACTGTATCCTTTCTCAGAAAGATCCCTTGTTTATGTGGTTTTATCTCACGCACGTGTAATGTATTGCATGAATACAGTGTCTGTAGCTGGTGCCTCCTTAACCTATCCTCCCTCAGGGGACACTAAAAACGTGTTGACAGGATCAGCAGACAACAGCTGTCGACTGTGGGACTGTGAGACCGGTGGGTAGAAACAAGCTGCACTGCAAGAGACTTTTTTTTTGGGCATAGATTTCAGTGTCTTAATGTGAAAATCCAAGCAGCAGTTTGACATACTATTACGACTATTACTACTACTACATCTGCTAAACCGCGTGACTCCGTCCCTCAGGTAAACAGCTGGCCCTGCTCAACACCAACTCCGCTGTCAGAACGTGCGGGTTCGACTTCAGTGGCAACATCATCATGTTCTCCACAGACAAGCAGATGGGTTACCAGTGCTACCTGAACTTCTTTGACCTGAGGGATCCACAGCAGATTGGTACGTACCACACAATGCACACATACTTCTTTTATTATGCTGCAGCTTATATTTGTATACCAGGAAGATGTTGACCTTTTTAAAACGTGCCAGCCACATCCAGTGTTTGTCTGAGGTTAATCTAAATGTGAGTAGAACTGCTGTTAGTAGTCAACTAATTAATCTCCACCCATTTTCACAATGATTAAATTAAAAACATTTCCAAATTCTCCGATTTAAGATTCTCAAATGTGAATATTTTCTGGTTTCTTTAGTCCTGTATGTCGTAAACTGAATATCTTTGGGTTGGGGGAAACTTTTCACCATTTTTCACCATTTTCTGAAACAAACAACTAATTGATTAATCAAGAAAACGATCGACCAATTAATCAATATTGATAATTGTTAGTTGCAGCCCTTAATTTGACATAATCCTTATTATACTTGTTAAACCATATACTATAAAGCAAGTAACTCGTATGTGGCTCTGTTTTGGAACATCAGAACAGATAGTTGGATATTTTTTATGCAACTTAATGTAAGTTGATTGAAAATCATTCTGTTATAAATGTTGAATGTGTTTTTTCTTTAAATGACAAAAGTGAAAACAGCAATATTCCTCTGCTGGAAATATGATGTACCTCTTTATCGTATTTAACACTTTCTGGGCCTGAGTATAATGAGTGACTCTGTCCCCCTTTCTGTGCAGAGGACAACCAGCCCTACCTGTCGATACCTTGCAGTGACCACAAGATTACCAGTGCTGTGTGGGGACCTCTGGGAGAGTTTGTTATTGCCGGCCATGAAAACGGAGAGTTCAACCAGTTCAGTGCCAAGGTTAGACACATACTGTCTGTCTGGGAACATATGGGAATGTGATCAACTGTGTTCATGTGGTACTGGCTGCAGGGTTTAATACTAGTAAACAAATCTGATATTGGTTATGGAGCCCAAAATAATAAATGTACTAGAATGGGAAATGCCTTCTTAGTTTGCCAGCAAAGTCTGTCACCCGATGTGGGTTTTTTAATGGCTGATGCTGAAATTGAGAGAGCAGGGCAGCTAAAGGCCGATATCAAAACAAAAAAAAAGTCAAGAGTAATTCCATTATTCCATACACATTACAATCTAATATATGAGAGTTATAGTACATGGCTCAGAAGTAACTTTTTGTCCACCATCCCTAAACCTTCAAGCGGGCGCGCTGACATCATTCCACAGCAGCCACACTGACAGGATCGGCTGCTGATGAAGCAGAGGCATCGGCCAATGCCAGTTATCTTAATATGCCAGACAGTGGGCTTATAAAAATTATATTGCAGTGATTAAGTATATAAAGCATATAAATGTGAGCTTTCAGACAAAGATATCCAGCAGCTTGGCTTTTAATTTCAGTATCTTTAAAGTTGAATGTTCCTGTTTTATTTATGGACAGTCTGGAGATATCCTGAAGAAAGCCAAGGAGCACACCAAGCAGATCAATGACATCCAGACTTCAGTGGATCTCACAATGTTCATCAGTGCCTCCAAGGACAACTCGGCCAAGGTAAGACCCTGGTCTACTCCCCTGGCCCTTTGACATGGTCACAACTAGACAGCTTGGTACTTAAGTTGTATAAAACTATTTGGCATGTGTATATATAATCTTTGTTACTGGTGATCAGATTTTATCTTGCCCTGCCCACTGTTTTGATATCACGCTGTTACTGACTGTTGGGTGTGTTATGTGCTTCCTCTCAGCTGTTTGACTGCGCTTCTATGGATCACATCAAGACTTTCAAGACAGAGAGACCCGTGAACTCCGCTGCCATCTCCCCCATTATGGACCATGTAAGTGAAGGCTCGCACAGTAATGTCCTTTCTGAAAAACAAGTATCTTATGACCATGTACAAATGTTTTCCAGTGAGGGCTATTTAAGGCTGATCAATTATTTGAAATATTATTGAAATTGCAGTATGGCCAAGAAGTGGTAAAGTGGTGTGAAAAAACAGCATTATAATGAAATAATGTAGTTCTGTAGAACAAATTTTGTTCTCCAGATTTAAGAAAACATGTTTGTTTGGTATGGACACATTTCACATCATGACTTTGACCTTTTTTCCCCAGTGAAAATTAAATTTGTGATCCAAAAATGAACATTTATACACACCAATAATAATCACAATACGATGCTTTTACCATATCATGCAGCCCTAGAGATTTGTCGAAGGCAAACCATTTCATCACTAACGTTTGACATGTGTGTATGGTGTGTGTCGGATTCAGGTGGTGATGGGAGGTGGACAGGAAGCCATGGAGGTCACCACTACCTCCACCAGGATTGGAAAGTTTGAGGCCAGGTGAGGAAAAAGTGTGGCTGAGGTTGATTAGCGGTCAGGAAAGAACCCCCCCACCCACATTAAGATCAACTTGATAGTAAAAGCCAGCTTCAGGGTGCTTGATCCCACTCCACTATACTGTATGTCGTTTGTGACTTTCAGCATTAACCTTTCTGCTCTATCCTCAGGTTCTTCCACGCTGCCTACGAAGAGGAGTTTGGCAGGGTCAAAGGTCATTTTGGCCCAATTAACTGTGTGGCATTCCACCCCGATGGCAAGAGGTAAGAGACAGACATACTTGGAAAGACACTGCCCTAAAATGTAAAGCAGTCTGGTCAAACCTTGTTTGCATGTATCACTGCTAACATGTTTGCTGTCCTGTGCTCATTGTTTACAGTTACAGCAGTGGAGGAGAGGACGGATACACAAGGATTCATTACTTTGACCCACAGTACTTTGACTTTGAACTGGAGGCATAAACAGTCAGGCTCTTCAACCCCACAGCTTCAACTAACATTGCGCTCAGTCAAGTCTGGAAGAAGGAATAACGGACTAAAGTGCATTTACAGCCTTCTTCCCTTCATCTCAACTGATCTGAAGTCGGTGTACAGGTCAAAGTTAGAGAGGTTGAGAATAAATTTGATCTGTATACTCAGATTACTTTAAATAAAGGGAAAGAGGTCAGAAGAGGCGACTGCAAGAGTGTGGTGTTTTTTTTAAGTCATTTTTCTAACATCACTCGCAAACTGTTGGTGGGATCAGAAGCAATTTTTGTACCCTGGATCTGCAAAGCTATCACGACTGGACTTTAAAACCCACACTCCCTGATTCCTGAATTTATTTAATCTGATTCTACAATAAGTAGGATTTGAGTTATTTCTAATTTCTGTTGTAAGCCATTCCACAAGTCATCATAAAACTACTTAATTCAAGTTGAGTCTGTGTGATCCCTGCAACTGTCAATCATTCATTCTTATTACATTCTTACCAAAAATAAAACAAGGCTTATACAATGTAATGCTATCTACAATTAATTTATTTATATATATATATATATATATATATATATATATATATATATATATATATATATATATATATATATATATATATATATATATAGGACTGATAATGACTAATAATGCAATTCAATACCAAACCAGCCCTATGGGAACACCTGTTAAGATTGTCAACATATTTAACAAATGGAATATTATCGTGTTTCAGTTTTTCTATTGGTGTTTAAACAATGAACCCAGGAGGAGAAATGTAAATCAGTTTTCTTTATTTTTTATAACAAAGTTATGATAATGCACATTTCACAAGGATAGAACTCCAAACAACCACATGTAAAGGGCCATTTACCAGCTCACTCCACCTTTATGTATAATGGTACAAAATATGTAAAACAAGTCATTCACTTCCCAACATCAGCCTCTAGAGAGGTCCTCACCCATTCACACTTCAACATACAAACAATGCAGGAAGAAAAATAAAAAACACTGACCAGATATCCATAATGGCTAAAGGGGACTGTGTTTTCATGATTTAAAATAACTTACTGAGCATCGGGGACTTAAATATGTACATGCTAAAGGCGAGATCATTCTAAACATGCATTCACTGGTAAATTAACACAGCAAGCCAAACAACAGTTTGCCAAATGCTGGTTATTCTAGCTGTATCATAAATAGATGTTTAAAAACTAACAGAAAAGCCTTTTTTACATGTGAGTACTAGACTTAGAAATCATCTACGTCTCTGCAGGTATTTTACCGTGAGCCCCACAAAATGGTTTAAATCTGAAACGCCATGGTAGGAACAGTAACAGCTTGGTTTTCTTCACATTAAAGCAGATCTGGTTCACACAACAGCTGAGAAGGGTTTATGGCATTTGTTTTTATACGAAGCTCCAGTTGGGTTGGGTGAGGTTTACACTTTGTGCAACATCCAATCAACTGGAGCTTCGCTGAGCTTGGAAACAAATGCAAACAATACAGTGTAAGCCAGGTTTGCTCATAAGAACACATAATAAAACAGGAATACAAAAAGGGTCCCATCTTCACAGCAGGAGACTTCAGTGGGGCTTAAGGACATCAGTACAACATCCATTTCTCCTCGTGCCAAGCTTCAAGTCGTCTTCACCTCTTCTTTTGGTCTAAAACAGTAAAAAAAAAAAACAGTCGGGTCAGTCTTTGTGTAACAACTTTGGCAATGAGTGTTTTCACATTCATTCCACCCAAAATACACAATGCATATTTACTGCTTGCCTAAAAGGACCATTGTGTAGGATTTTGTGACATATAGCGGTCAAGTTTTCCACCAGGCATGGCATTCCAGAAGCATCTCTCTGCTCTGTTCCGCAGAATACGCGGTTGGAAACGCATTTTTTGACGGAAGACGCTTCAGAGCACTAAAAGAGGTTTTTCTTGATTAATGATTCATTTTAATATTACAATATATGAGTGTTTAGAAAGTTGTATACCACAATATCGTACATCGCTCTGAAAGTGGATGACATCATTTTTCGCAACGAAAATGCAGGGATTATGAAATCATGCAAGCCCCGCATATTTTGCGTGGAAATCGGCAATTTATGTGGCAAAAGTGCGGTGTATTTGAAAAAATGCGCCCCCCGCATAAATATGCAGACTTTGGCTGATTATGCATTGAATTATGCGATCGCATAATCGCGTTATTCTGGAGGGACTGATTATTATAGTTAATCTTAATGTAGACCCTTGACTATCCACAGGTTTTTACTATATGGAGGTTTTATACTCTATACTAGAATATTAAGTTGCAGGTCTTACCCTGATGTGTCCATCTTTTCTTCCTCCTTCTCTTCCTCTTTCACTTCTAGGGGGCAAAAGAAACCAGTGATTATTACAATGTTTGTCCATCTACATATACAAATTGGACTTGCGAGTTAAGTCTTACCCTTCTTGTCCTCTCCTTCCTTCTCTTCTTCCTTCTTCACCCGTTTTGCCTTCTTGTGGTTGGCTGCATTCCTGCGGCCTCCTCCCTGCCCCTCCGCCTCATCCTCAGAGTCAGAAAACTCTTCCTCACAGGCTATCCTCTTGTCGTGGGCCCGGACTGAAACACAGAACACACACACCGTCCACAAATAGTCATTAATAGCCCTAGTTTATGTGCCTGATCATTTCCTACAATCCCATCTAAATCTGTGGCTGCAGAAATCTCTTACTGGATACGCGTTTGTCGGGGTCCTCCTCATCCTCGTCTCCGCTGTCCGGGTGGGGAGCATCCTCGGGGATCGCCTGCATCTGGACACCAGGGGCGTGTGGCAGCATCCGGAGGTTTTCAAACAGACGCTGCTTAATCTTCTCCAGGTACTCGTTGGTGTTCTGGTTCGTCATGTTGGACGGGCTGATGTGCAGCTTGAAGTCGGGCCCGAAGTACTCGAAGTAATCGTTGTAGGGCAGCTCGTTGGGGATGGAGCAGTCCAAGGCCACGGCCGTCTCGTAGGTCCAGCAGCGGGCCACGTTGCGAATGGTGTAGCCTCCGCCACCCAGCATCAGCAGGGGCAGGTTGAAACTCTTGATGTACTCCACACATTTGGCGTGGCCTTGAAGAACGCACACATTAAACACGTTCAATTCAGTGCTACAGTACTGAAGGACTTTTGGGTATCGTCTTTGGGAAGTGAAATGTGTTCATACCTTTGATGGTGAGGTTGAAGCAGCCCAGTCTGTCTCCAGAAAGAGAATCAGCTCCACACTGGAGTACAACAGCGCTCGGCTGGTACATCTCCATGACTTTAGCCATGATCTAAAACACACACAAACACACACATTAACAACCACGCTCACACAAACAATCTGGTTGTGGTGATTACGTAGTACCCAAATAAAAGCAGACTTACAGGTTTGAAGATGGCTTCGTAAGACTCATCGTCAATGCCGTCTCTAAGTGGGTAATTTACTGCATAGTACTTGCCCTTTCCAGCTCCGATGTCCTGCAAAACATTAGATACTGTTTAACTACTGCCCCCATACACACAACATACACTGATGATCTTAGAAGGAAAGTGAGAGCAAACTAACCCTCAGGTCTCCGGTGCCGGGGAAGTATTCCCCGTACTTGTGGAAAGAGACAGTCATGACTCTGTCTGTGGTGTAGAAGGCCTCCTCCACTCCGTCACCGTGGTGGATGTCAATGTCTATGTATAATACCCTCTGGTGGTACCTAGAGAGGAGAGAGAATTCAGTTAATGACATCTTAAGAGGCAACCAAAATGTGTGACAACTATAGTACGTTATGCATTTATTAAAACCAAAAAGCCTAAGGACTGTACGAAGCGAGAGCAATAGGACGCTGACTGCAGTTCACATAGCAGCCACGAGTGTCACTAAGACCAACTGTTTTCTGAAAGCTAGATAAACAACCTTTAAAAAGGAATAAACGCTGCAAGAAAAGGACGATGGCAGCAATCTAGCGTTTGGCACAGAAAGAGGAACTGGGTCATGTGCATTACACATAAAGCTCCATGGCAGGTGTAGATGTAATTCGACTTATCCGTATCTAAAATATAATGCCAGATTTCCTTGTGCGCCCAAAAGAAGTGAAAGCTGACAGAAGTGGTGAAGAAGCAGGATGGTTAAACAGAGAGAGAAGGCAGCTACTTACTTGAGCAGTTCGAGGATGGCCAGGACGATGTCGTTGACGTAGCAGAAACCAGAGGCCTCGGACTTCTTGGCGTGGTGGAGTCCGCCGGCCCAGTTGATGGCGATGTCTGTCTGCTGTTTGTTCAGCTTCAATGCCCCAGCTAGAGGAAAGACGAACAGAGTAAAATTACAATACGGGTTTAATGGACGTTGGGCTTTTGACCTGAGGTCATTTATAAATGTTTAGATATAAATATTAGTATTGTTTACTACAGTTTCATACACTCTTCTATGATATAACTGAAGGATTATGGGAAGTGCGACTGGAATAACATACCGACAGATCCACCCGTTGAGAGCTGGCAGAACTCAAAAAGACCATCAAACACCGGACAATCCTCTCCGACGTTGACTGTGAGAAAAGGAAGAAAAAGAAAATATTTAACACATGTGGACAGGAAGAATAATTTAGCCTCCACTGGAAGATGGCGGATACTCACATCTCTGCATCTGTTTGCTATACTCAGACATGTTGTCTGGTCGGATGGACCTCAGGAACTTAATGTAGTCATCACTGTGGTATTTTGTCATCTCTTCACCACTGGCTTTGTGTGGTCTCTGGAAACAGACAGGAAGGTCATGAGGAAGAAAGTCACAAAAGACACTTTTCAGTCTGAACACAGCTTAACTGTTATCCTTACTGTCTTGGACTGGCAGGTTTCATCCACTTACATATGTAAAGGCTATCTGAATATTCTAACACCGATTCATTTAAATGTTTGCTGGTCAGGTCGAGCCAACCAAATATGAAAAATAGTTCTATGACAGTCAGAAATGAACAAACAGCCAACGCTTTGAATTTATGTTCATTTGTAATTACATTGCATTATTATAAGACTGTACTTATTAGACCCCAAATTGAGCTGTATCACATACAGACTTTTCTGTATTGAATGATTCACGGTGAATATGTGTACCATTACTAATTACTAACCAATAACTACCATGTCCGTTACCGTTGCCAATTAAGTGGTTATTTTGAAAGTTGTAGGGCACACTGATCACAGTCCAGTGGATCAGTTTAAGACTCTCTTATGGTGTAATTTTCTCTTGAGGAAGCATAATGACACATGGACATATGGATCGGTGTGAGGTGTTTGTGCGGAGTGATACAACTCACATAGATCTCCATTTTTCTGTACAGTCCATAGTTGAGAAGGAGGTTGTGTGTCATGCGGATCCTGTGGGGTTTCATGGGATGACCCTGGCCATAGTAGTAGTTCCCCACATCCCCTTGGAAAGAAAAGATTTTGAATAAGTTTCCACAATGCCTTTTGGCGCTCCTGCGCGAAGACAGTCCACAGTGGACACTAACATGACCTGATAGTTAAATGTGACAAATAAAAAAGGAGACGATCAATTTGCCAGGACTGTATCTTTATTTATTATATGCTACCTGACCTATATGTTCGACAGCTATATTACATTAAAGACATACAAAAAACCCGACAAAAAAACACATTTAATAAAAGCGTTTACTCGCCCAACTTGTACTTTCACTTTCATATGAAGCATTTTTTTTAAGTATGTAACGTTATACATAACAGAAAAGTGTAAAGCTATATAATTAAACGTCACTTGTTTGCAGGAGGATTTATCGATAAATAATCCCACTGGTAAAGGATGCACGGTTCCCACTACTCGGAAGTTGTTATCAAGTTGGGGGAAACACTGGTGTATTAGCGCCGGCTAGCTTCATGCTCCTTTATGTTCCCAGAAAGAGCCCGTTAGAACCTCCCCGGCACAAAGCCCCATTCAATCAAATGTCTTCATAAAACAATGGGATGTGTCTGGTTATTTGAAACCTTCAAATTGAGATGAACACTGGATGATATAATGCATGCAGGTTCAAGCTAACGGCTAGCTAAGCATACCATATAGCTAACACAGGCTAGGCTAGTTAGCCAATCGAGCGAGCTAGCGTTAGCACGCTACACCGGCTAGCTAGCTAGCTAGCTAGCATGGTGCTGCTTTAATAAAATACATGTAACATTTCCTGAAGCTCCGCGCGCCCTGAGGGCCCCTTCAACCACTGCGAAACGGGGGTGCACAGGTTGGATATTTACCGTCATAGTAATAGCAAACTTTTTTCTTTGTTCCTTGAGACAGCGCCATTTTACACCAATTCAACACTGTTTCGTGCCCACCGGTTCCTCTCTTGCTACAGGGAGCTCGCGTTGAGCTCTCCTCGACCAATCACAGAAGCTCCACCGCCCGACTGGGAGGCGCCGGTAATACAAACCAAGGACCGCCGAGGCTGCAGCTACTACCAGACAGTGTCTAGACAGGTGTTGCTAGGTGAGTGAAATAGCTGCAGGTAATTCTGTAATGTCCACAAACTGATCTCCAGATATTCAGACAGTCAGTTTGAGTTTTGATCTGCTGGGAGGTAACAAAGGTTCAGTGACTGTGCTGGAGAAGGACAGTCCAGTGGGGTTAGAGATGTATAGGGACATGGGTATTAAACTTCTATATACTGTCAATGGTACAAAAGCAAGGTTCTTAGAAGACCCCACTTCCACTGCTTGTGAATCCTGCAGGGCCATCCTGTTATTCTCCTCTGCTACCACATCAGTAACACCACCATTTTATTAATTAACCTTTTTATTTTATTTATTCATTTTATTATTGATTTAGTGATCAGTAGCCTGCCTCAGTTTACATTTTGTCATGCCTTAAATAAATATCTTATGTCATAAACCTTTATGTCAGCCTTAAAAGGTTAATATGGTCGGTTTGGATGGGTTTCCTTGCCACTTGTTATATATTCTCTCACTCTTTATATTATATTAGTATATAGTGGCTCCTTTTCATTGTCTCTATTTTTTTAATCTTTTTATCTTTATTTGTATTGTGATATTCTGATTCTGATATATTATATATTTCTCAAAATATAACTTATAATAACTGCAACATAACAACAAGAAGCCATGTCCACTTCAGGTGTAGACCTTTAAAAGCAGAAAATACCACATTTTTTCTCAGTGTGTTTTTTTGACAAAATATTTCTACATTAATGATCTCATTAGTTTATTTGACAGGGAAACATTTCATCATTTGTCCCTGGCCAGATGTATCTAATCTAGGTAATGTAATTCATTAGCTTCTTAAAAAGTACTGGAACAGATTGGGAAACAGGACAATAGGCAATCAGCTTCATGGCATTCCACGTAAAGGCCAGCAGGTGTCAGTGTAAGCTCACTTGTGTTTGACTGTAGTCTCCAAATCTCTGCAGACCCTGTTACTGCTGAACGAGAAATGCTGCACCCCTGAGCTGATCAGTCACAGAATCTCATGTATAGTATGCAGTGCAAACAAAACAACGATGTATGGAGTAAACAGCACTGGAAATGTTAACCCCTTGTGGAGCAGCCATTAATTATTTACAGCTTACTGTACCTGCTGCCAGCGCACGGTGTAAAGACGTGCAGAAGATTTACACCATTTACATATGAGTCCTTGTGATTTCACTTGGTATTTAAAGACTCTTATTATAAAATAAAAGTGCTGATTGGTTAACTAACCGACTGCTCCGAGAGGCAGAAAGCTGTATCAACATGGAGCTGCAGCTTTGTTTAAATAATTCATAAATGTTTGAAGGCTGGGTCCAAATGTAGCTTTGATCTCAACTCCATCATTTCACCATGTGAACTAGGTCAGTTCAGCCGGAGCAGGACTGCTGTGTTCAGCTCGCCACGTTCAGGAGAACACTCGCCTTTTTCCGATGGGAGGAATACTGTAGATGTGAAGGCTGAAGGAGGGGGTAGCAGAGGTAATGGTGCTGATCTCAGGGCCATAAGACTAATAGAGGGCCAGGGGCCATTGAAGCCAACATGACAGTGGTGGTGTGTTCAATTACCGCCTAACCAATCAGCTACAAACATGCAGGCGTTTCATAGAGAATCACAGAATGAGACAAGTGTAGGGAGTGTCACATGGAATCATTTGACACATAATCTCAAGTCAGTTAAAATACTGGGCTTTTGCCTTTATAGTCGTTGGTGGATCATTGTTTTTGTTGCAAATTTTCTGTCCTCTTTTAGTACGGCTGAACAGTTAATCTAAATTTGATCAAAATTGCAATATGATCAAGTGCAATAACCAAATAGCGAGTGCTACAATAGTCCTGAGTGTTGTAGTGCTGCAGAGATCCTCTGTCCTACAAGTTGTGTTCTCCAGATGTAAGAAGAACATGTTTGTTTGTTACAGACTACAACAAATGTCACATCATAATGATTTTAATTGTTTTTTCAGTGAAAATGGGAATTGTGATGCACAAAAAATAATTCCCACTAATCGTGAATCATATCATAATTGTAATATCTGTCAAAATAATATGTAATATGATTTATTTATTTTACCATTTCAAAGCAGGACCAAAGTGAGTGTCAATCCAACAAGAGCTACTAATTACATGTATGAGTGGAATAAAACTTGATTTATATTATTGGTTTCAAAGTTTAGCCTATTCCAATTTGCTGGCTTACAATTGGTATCAGTAAAGCATTAATGCATTTTATTATCCCCACTGTAATATACAGGTGTCCTACCATGTACTGTAGCCAGCTGGGGGTCAATTATTTGCTAATGTCAGATCTCTTGTTAAGATGACGGGCATATATTAAAGCAAAACTATGTAACTTGTGCTGAATAACAGCTACCATTATGCGATAGCAGTAAATGTTCAAATGTAGTGTGACAGTACCACAAGTAGACAACTGACCTCCGTAATGTCAGTTAAATAACAAAATCTATCTTAAGTTTGCCAACATTAGCCACCATAAGCTACTGGTCATACCAGACCGAGACAGACTGAATCGGTAAAACCCCCAGGAGCGTGCTCAACTGAGAAAGGGCGTATTTTATGGATTTTGAATTCAACCTTTAATTTGTAAAAATAAGAATGTGTTATTTCATGTTTCAAAAGATCCATAGTTGTGTTTTAAATTGGGGTTTGAGATTTGAGACAATTATGGAGGGAAATGGTGTGGCTGCTCCAGTTAGCTTTTTCTTTATACTTCCATTTGTCTAATACGCAGACACCAAAACAACGTGAAATTCTAGAGCTGATGGAACATCAGCCTTTAAAGTATATCTCTCCAGGGGTGCCCACATAGCTTACCTGGTAGAGCTGGTGCCCCATGGAAGTCTGAGTCCTTGGTACATTGGTTCAGATCCAACCTATGGCCCTTTACTGTGCATCATCCCCTCCCTCTCTCCCCCCTCCCTGCTACTCCTCTGCTGTCACTATCCCCCCTTTTTTCCCCCAATTGTTGCAATGATTGGATAAATTTGAGTGATAGGTTTGAGTTGTGTGTCCCTAATCCTTACTTTGCTGCTACTAGGACCCCCCCCCCATTAACCTAGACTACTTTGTAGTGAGAACTGTAATGCAGGGTGCAAATAAGCATAAAGACACATCAATGGGCAGGTAACCAACATTTATTTACCATTATCAACTTTACAGTAAAACCAGTAACATCTGTCAACATTAGCAAAATAAAGAACAGAAATCAATCCAATGTATTTACAGAGACAAAGCTGATTCAGGCTCACACACGACAGATAAACAACTCTGCTTCATATCAAACCGCAACAGTGAACATAGCAAGCTTAAGTGTTCTTTTTTCATAGTAAGGTAAAAATCAAAGTTGTCTATTTTTTTTTTTCTTTAAACAAACAAGTAATAGCTTCTCTGAATCTTTAAGATGGATCTCTATTATACACCACAAAATACTTCAAATTTGGGTTAAAATATAGGAATGTAAAAAGTTGGCGAGTCTCTTAATTTTCTGATTTCATTTTTTTTTTCTATATTCAACAGTCATTTCAAGTGGTGGTGGTGTCCTAGTATCTTATCTAGCTTCATTCCTTCGGCAAGGAGGCATCTTGATCTGCACATTTTTAGGGAAGAGATGCTTTGACTCCATCCATCCTTCATCCGTCTATATTTCACGGTGTCATTAGCTCGCGTTCTAGCCATTAAAATCCATTTTCCGCATAGCGACCAACCCACAGCCTAAAACTCAGTCCAGGTCCACATGTCGAGCAGTAACCAGGAAAGTGATCTAGTGAATCTAGTCTGTCGTCTTGTTATCATGACGAAAAGTGGCACGTCAAAGGAGTCTCTCACATACATGTGTATATATTTACATATACATATATCCATATACATATGTATACATATACACATATATATATAAATATATATATACTCTTAAATTTTCTCTCTCTTTCTTGAAAAACAGTTCACCCAGTTCATTGTGAGCTAAAGGTACAATCACTCTTTCTTTTCAGAGGGAGCGGGGGTCGAGCTGCTCTCCTCTGTTGGTTTCGTGGCCTCGGGGGCCGGAGCAGCTGCCTCCTTGGCCTCCTCCTTGGGGGCCTCCTCTTTAGCCGGCACCTCCTCTGCCTTTGGGGCCTCAGCCGCAGCGGCGGCCTCCTCCTTCACCTCCTTCACCTCCTCCTTCTTCTCTTCCTCTGCAGGAGCAGCAGCTCCATTCTCGGCGGGCTTCTCCTCAGCAGGGGCAGCGGCGGCCGCCGCTTCCTCTTTGACAGCCTCGCTCTTCTTGCTCTTCTTCAGATTCAGTTTGAAGTTGAAGGACTTCTTCAGGGAGAACTTCTTCTTCTTCTTCTTGGGGGTCTCCTTGGCAGCAGCCTCGCCCTCAGCTTTGGCTGCTTCTCCATCTGCAGCAGGCGCCGGCTCAATAGCGTCGCCTCCTGCGCCGGCTTCAGGCTCCTTGGCTGCCTCAGCCGAGCCATTGGTGGCGGCAGCGTCCCCATCGGGCTTTGTAGAGACATCACCATTGGTTTTCACATGTCCATTCTCCTGAAAAAACAGGTTGGCACAAAATAAGTCATCTGCTTCTAAAGCTTCAAATTCTGAAGAAGAAAATCATGTTTTTTTTTAAAATAAACTCTCTGCACATTATGAAACACAAAGGGGGCATATTTTAAATGTGCATTACTCGTTTCTTTTCAGAGCATCGTCGTGCTCATCAATTAACCACCGTGTCGCCGGCTCAGAGGCGACGCCTTGCAGTATCCTAATCAGACGATAGGCGGCGGTAGCGCATCGCAGACCGCCTTGGGTACCAGACAGACAGCGGCTCAACAAAGACAAGACTGGAGCTCATCGATGGAAGAATGAAAACACTTCCAGTTGACGGGGTTTTTGGGTTTTTTTTATACCCAAACAATAAAAACA